GCGGAGGGGCAGGGCGGAGCCAGCCCGCCTCTCGCCTTCCGCGGGGAGCGCGCAGGCACCCCGGCCCCGCGTTCAAATAGGCCTCTACTGGGCAGCAGTAGTTAGGGAAAATCATGAAAAAATGCTTCCTTCAAGTAGAAACAGTCTCCTACTTTGTACATATGCAGCAAACAAATTTATAGAAACGGCACTAATTTCAGCAACAAATAAAACACTATGCATTCGATGCATTTTAAAGCATATATACATCCATATTATTACAGCTAAGAATTAGTCCTGAGCGATTTCCTCAGGAAAACACTGTAATTCATCTCTTCACAGGACATTCTCCGCTCTACAAATAGAGAGAATGGCAGTTTTCCAGTGAACAACCCTATCCTCTCTATTTCAATTATCCTCACTGCCGCAGAGGGAAAAGATTAGACCGCTGTTGACTGATGTTAGCCAAGAAAAGCTCACAGCCAATGTGTTGGGCTCCTTCTTGGTCTGTTTATTAAATTTCATCATAGCCATTCAAAAAGCAACGGGGCTCCAGTCATGTCAGTAGAAAATTTAACTGAAAATAAATTGCATGAACAAAACATTTGGCTAACAGTTGTAATTGTCACTACTGTCCAAGATGGAAAAGAACCCAGGTTAGATGGTGGCCAAACCAAGAGTACAAAGGCAACAAGTATTTCTTGATCCCAACAGGCTCTAAGGGAACCTCTTCCTCTTTGCACTGCAAAAGGCTTTTCCCAAGTGTGCGCTATTTGTGAAACTTACTGTTAAGGTATGGAAGACAACCGTAAAGGATATAGTTCCTCACCTTCTTTTAGTTGGGGTTTTTTTTTTGTTGTTTTAGATGAATATACTTCTCCAGCATATGACTACATTAAGTAAACAAATTTCCTCTTTTTTTTCTTCTCCATTTCCTTATCCACAGCTCCATTCTGTCTGTTAAACTACGAAAAGATGAGGGACTGCTGGGATCTGCAGTACAGGTACTGCTCCAGCAGTTCAGCTGACATGACATGGATACTGGCTTTAAGAAACATCAGCTGAAAAACCATCTACATCCTTCAGGACACCTGATTCCCTCCAGAGACAACTACTTGGGTACAGAGGCAACATCACTCACCTATCACAAGCAGCTGTAATCAGGATTAGTGTTGCTGGAGCACTCTGAGAAGTGTGAAGATTCAGTTGCTCTCCATTCCTCATTTTTCTCCATTTCTTGCTTTACAGGTATAATTTGATTCTTTTTAGTATTCCAGCAAAAACAGGGTATGATGGTGATCCATTGATAAACCATGACACACCCCATTTACACACGTGCAGGTATAACTGACTACTTCAAAGCAATCCAAGGCCACTTTTTATCTGGTTTTCCACTTACAATATACTGAGATGCAAGGTGGGATTGTTCCATAAAAAATAAAACCAGTAACAAGACACAATTAGCCATTCCAGGCTTGGCAATTCCTACTTGTCACTGCAGCTATTACTATAAACATTGCCATACTTCTAAAAAAAACCTAAAATGCATCGTTTTAAGGTGGCCAGTTTTCCCAACAGACAAGTGTTCATCTTGCTAGGGTACAGATACTAAGACGTGGACTCCTTGACGCATGTTTCACTTAAAATGCAAACTTACCCATAAACTTAAGTTGAATTCGGAAGCTATTATTTCACCAGTTCCTCAGAGGAGTGACCCACCCTCCTGTGTTCTGGCTTCCCTGCAGCACGCCTTGGCCCTGTGTTCCTGGTTGTGGGCTGCTGCAGCCTGGCCCTTCCCTGCCATGGATCTTCCTCAGCCCCTTTGGGACTGCCAGCAGGAACGTGGCTTTAGGTGATGCCTCAGAAGACTGCAGCAAGCAATCCATCCATCTTCCCTGTCCCCCTGGTTTCTCAGCATGTTATGACCACGGCCTTATAGCTAGTCTCAGATGACCTCTTGAGTTCCTAAGGTTTGAGGGATGATGCCCTTACCCAACAGCAGCGATGCAGATTTGAACTACAGTCAACACAAGCACACTTTGTTACAAATCTTTATTATCTTGCACCTCCTGCCACAGCTATCTTTGAAACAGCTGACATTCATATTTTACAGGCACGTAAAAAGTTACGAAGTGTAAAATACGCTTTGTAGTTCACAAAGTAAAAATTCTTGAGGATTTACTTTCTGTAAACAAAATTGGGCAGAGATGTTCACCCCCAAGGGAACAGGCAGGCCCTGTCATCACAATGAGCACATTGAGGAGGCAGTGTTTGCACAGTGTAGAGGCAGAGCATCTATCTTGTTGATAGATGAGTAGCTTCCCTGGGACTACCTGTGTCATTAAAAGGCACAAAGAGAAACACACCACAAAGCAGGCCCTGGTAAGTGTGGACACCCCACCAGAAATCTTAGCACTACCCCATTCTTCTTATCACAGCTGGGGGAGGGAGGTGTCACCATTTCTACTAGCTGTGTGCTCTTGCTTTCTCAAGCATGAACTGCAGCTGAAGACCGTGTGGATGCTCACTCTAATAAACATGGGAAGCCTCCTCGTGGCTGCAGCAACAGTAGGACTGGTGCCTGTACTAGCCACTGAGGGTCTACAGCTTCCAGGGCTCTGGCCTTTAAGCTCAGTATTGCAGGGCTGTTTTACAAATCTACATACTAACACAGAGTTAGTGTTTTAGATGACACCATACCTATAAGGTTTAGGGAATGATACTCTGTTTTAAAATAGTCCTAGATACACTAGGACAATTTGTTAATAAAAAGGTAGTTTGGAAGGACCATCCTAAGCAATATGCAGCAGTTATTGAGCAACATTATGTATTTAGGTAACTCATTTGGGTTTTTTTTTTTTCCTCCATCTTCCTGTGTTACAAAGCAATGAAAATTTCAGTAGTCAGAGTAACACAATCCCTACTTGATCTAACTGTGCCAGTTATGGATGGTATTCAGAGCCCACAATTTTCTCATGGAATTCAGAGGTAAGCCTGTTTATAGGGTACCTTCTGGACCACATATTGCCCCAAAATCAGTATCTGCATATTTCCTAAAAGTTTTGGCTAATTTGATCCATAATGATCCATTGTTACTTCCCATCCTCAACCCGATGCTAATTCTTTTAAATTGACATCCTGAGCATCTATATCATTAAGATAATGGGAAAAGAGCAGACTGAGAATGAGAGGAAATATCTCATTAGAGCAGATGATCTAGGAGAGAACAGCCTGACACAGACTCCAAATTCTTCTTTTGTGAATAATCAGCACTACTCATCACGGCAGGCAGCAAAAAAACAAATCCAAAGGAAATTTCACACAGCTGGCTAAGCAAAAATAACTGCTCAGGGCTCATCACTTACTACAGTCCTCAGGGAAACCTCTTCCCAGGTATCAAACCTCCCATGTTTGACCTCCCTAGACACACGCCCTTCCAAGAGCTGAAACAATCCTGATCTTAAACTCATGTTAAACATGCACAGTCACAGTGTTTCCTCTTCTCAAGCCCTGCTCCTAAAACTCGTATCTGCTGAACAATAAGCCACCACACAGTATTTTGTATGCATACATAGTCCTTCAGAGATCTTAACCCAGGGAAAGATGTACAGAGGGTGAGGAGTAAGATGTCTACACCAGGCAGCAAAGGCATGGGAAGGGAGGGCAAGCACATGGGGCACCAAGAAAGCTCAAGCAGAGCAGAGGTGAGCTGTGGGCGCAGACAGCAGTCTGTCAGGGAAGAGAGGCTACTTCTTCAGGCATTGTGAATTCCAGCCCTGGCTCCCAGAAAGACATCTGTCATCCTAGAGAAAGCAAAAGCAGTATTCATTGGCTCAGTGCTGGTCACCTCTGACTGACAGATAGGCACTAGAAGGCACAGGTCTCCCAAGAAAACCAACCTGTTGCTGCAGCACATCAGAACAACCCACATCCACTCTAGTATACATTCACTTGGCTTTGGTTCATTAGGAGTTCACTCCATAGGAGTCAAGATATTTCCACTCTTTTCTTTAATGACCTTCATCTTGCTAAGATCTTTTCATTCCAGAGTTTTAACTTCTTCCCAAAGTCCCAACTGTGTTTCTTCTGACAGGAGACTCCAGCCCAGCAAGCACGCAATGTATCCAGTGTGGAGCCAGTGCTGCTACTCCTGGAGCACCCCAAGTGCTGAACTGACCCAGGTGCAGATGCCCCAGGCTGCGTGACAAGACTTGCACATGTCCTATCAGAGCACCTAATTGATTTAATAGTCGAGTACCAAAACTGCTTAAAACAAACCAAACACTTTGATAAAACCAGATCTGCAAAGTCCATATGCAGATATAAAGCATTTACAAACACATGGATTTATCTCGTAAAAAATTCAATATCATTCTCTTCACACACCATCATCTCCAACATCTAGGCATTTTAACCACAAAAGAGTTTGGCTAAGATTTGTTTTCTTAAATGGATATCTACATTTCAGATAAACCTCTCAAATTTAGGCACCTGGTTTGTATATAAAGCATCCTCTTAACCTGCTGCACCCTAGAGCTGAGCTCACACTGCCTTGGCAACTACACCTGTGTTACACTGCAGCACAGCTTTCCACATACTTCCCCACATCTAGCAGTAGGGAAGAAAAAGACATATACCAAGTATGCTTTCCTCGGTGACCTTTCAGAACTAGACTGAACAAAATGGGCTCCCCCTGCTTCTGTGAAAGTGCTTGGCATATGATAACTTTTAATTTGCACAAGATGTAAAGTTCACATGATTCCCCCACTAGCTTCCTCGGTACACTTCTCCTGTCCTGTGCCTGCCAGCTCCTCTGAGGCTGAAACTACCAAAGCTGCTTCATCTTCCAAACTAATGATCCAAAGCACAGCTTGTCCAAAAAAAGTCCCATCATTCAGTGCTTCCCACCATCCAGCATATACATGCACTCAGAAAACTCAACACACTGTTCTCCTCCAAACAGAGGGTTTGGTTTGCTCTGCTCTGTAACTTGGACAAAACACTTCTGCCTATTCAGGACAGAAAGCTGCTATTTACTCTTGAATTCACATGTAAATGGCTTATAATAGCCATCTCCTGAAAAAGTACACCTTCATTTCTATGGAAGAGCAGCAGGGTTTTCTGATATTCAGAGAACAACATGATGTCATGTTTGATACATGCTGGTAAGTCTCTCAACTTCTAATCAAAGACTTCTTGAGTTTATACTTCTCCTGTTTGTGATCTCATGCTGGGGCAATTTCCTCTGCTGAAGCTATGGTTAGGTACCATAGTGGTAGGAACATCTGTATGGGGTCTCTGGTACAGATGAACCTAATAGGACAACTCAAAACAACACTGGCTTTGAGGCTCACACCCTAAGGATTTTTTTTCTTTTTTCCCAGAAGTAAGATAAAAATCAACAAATTATCTAATAATCCCTCTTAAAATTATTCCTTTCCCAAGGATAATTACAAATTGCAAAATACACATTGCAAGAAAGAGATCTTTCAGCATACACTGTTTTTTTTCCATGAGGTTTAGAATTACAAATTGTAATTTGCTACTCAAAGATGAGAGACTTATGCTCAGGGATCCCATAATTTCTTTTATGTTCTTCAAATAATTTTCTTAGTTTCTGTAGATACAATGCATGTAGCTGTTCAATCTCTTCAGTGGTGGGGTTCAAGTTCCGTTTTACAGGGATGGGGCTTCCCACTGTAAATCAAACACAAAAGCAGCATTAGCCTCACTGATGTCTCTTTTAAAGTACAACTGTCCTCCCTGCTGTAACAGCTCCACCACACTCCCAGCATGGTGCCTGAATTACACAGAAATTCTCATGCCCTGGGGCCTGATCCTGCCTTTCACAAACCTGAGCCCTGGGTCTCCATCTCCACTTCCTTTTGCTCAAGTTCAGATAAAATTAATTTAAAACACCCATCATTTCAGTTTGGCAGCAAAAGAGCAAATGAGAAGAGAGTTAAGCTCTAACTTGGAGGAGCAGTTTACACTTGAACAAACATACAATCCCAATTTGGGCTATGTGTTGTCTTGTCATCAGGGTCATACTCCACAAGTTCAAAATAGCATTTAAAAAAATGTACCTTCTCACCATCTTCTGTTCTGATCTGAATACTAAAGTTACCCAATGTGAGGGACATGACTAAGAGGACAGTGGTGTCCTCAACCACACAGCCACATGAACAGGACTAAAGAAAATACAGGTATCTTCTGATTTATTCAAAATGGGTATTGCTGCACCAGCACCAGAAATGCTGTTGGCTACCTCAGCCTAGGGAGTGGTAGCATGTAAAACCCCCAAAACCTGTAGGGTGTCTTTGAACCATCCATTGCCAACAAATATCATTCCAACCAACATCTCCAGGCACTGCACAAAGCCTGATGCCTGCTCTGTTGGAGCAAGAGCAAGAAAGAGCATGGAGGTAACTCCACAAAGTCCAGAGGGCAGACTCTTCCTCTGGAAAAAGCTATGGCTAAAAAGCCTGCAATATGCTAAGAAAAGCTTCCTATGATATCAGTCTTCCTTGTGTTGTTCAGTTAACACAGATTTTGACAGCTGTTCTCACACTGGAGGCACTGAGAGCCCAACAGACCCAACCAAAAGTCTGTAGAAAAGCAGAGAGTGAAAAGCACCCCCCTCAGAAGTTTTTACAAATGCACCTGAAAATCTCTTTCAACAGATGTTGACACTTAAAATTGGATGGTGTTGACTGAAGGGAAGCCTAGCCAGAACTACAAAGGGGCTGATTCTGCATTTTCCTGCTGCAACTTCAGCTGCCAACAGCTCTTGCACCCCACACGGTGCTGAAATTCAGACTTTACATGGCTAGAGGTGGGAACCCAGCCCTGGATGAAGCAATATCTTAGGGGGTGTGAAATCAATACACATCCAATCCAGGACTTCCAGAAGCATGTCTGGAAATACCAAACAACCCCCAAGCCCTTCTGCAGCCCTTCCTAAGAGTGGAGATTTGTGAAATTGGAAACTACATTCATCTCTAATTTTCTGCGCAGCTTTAAGCAACCTGCTTAATTTGGTATTTTAGAGTTGATTCTATTTCTGAAAAGCAGTAATAATTATCAGGAAAAACAAAAGTACTTCACTTGTCAAGCCTCAAACACTCAGACTTTGTGGACTTTGGTTTTGCTGAATTGCATCTCCTTGCTCTAGGACCCACAGCTTCTGAACCAGGAGGAAGCTCACTGATACCTGGCCACATTGTCAGCAGGGCTAACCGGCTTGGGTGGAGCTCAACGTGACTCTAGCTTTCAGGAGCTGAGCTAACACTTTCAAAGCTGTGTTGAGCCATACCAAGAACCCCTCCATGAGAATGAAGGGACACAGTGATAGTTTTCAAAAATGAGGAAATAGGAACACCAAAGGTAAGGGATTTCTTGAGATCATACAACAAATTCTATTGCAAGACAGGTCTTGCTGATTTGAAGCACTCCCGTGCTTTAGCCATGAACCATCCCTGTCCTTGCAGTAAATATTACAGTGTTGAAGATTTGCCTCAAATTGAAAGATATTTTAAGCTTCAGAACAGTCTTGATGTCATCAGCCCAAGGAAAAACTGCGGAAAATACGTTGCTCTCATTCCAATGCTTCAAAAACTTTCTGGCTTTAAAAGAAGTGTTATTTTTAGTCTGCCTGTGCACAATGTGGGCTTTAAAAATGAAATCTTTTCTAAAACATTTAACTATATACATTGATAAGATGTGGTGCAGGAAATTTAACATAAGAGGAGCTACATTTTTGTCTTAAACATTTTTATTTGATCCATACTAAAATCAAATCATCCCTCCATGAAATGGAGGGCCTTCTTAAACATCCCTTGTGGAATACCAGAAAAGCTCAATTTACTTTTCTGTAGAAATGGGCTCATTAGTTCACTCAGCTCAGAACCTGTCTAAAACTGATTTATCCAAAATATAAAGACCGCCAGCTATTCCCTTCACATGATGCCCAGCACAACTTTTTTAAAGGTGTGGTTGTCAATAGCACTAGTTAAAGCCATGAAAAACTAAAAGACATTCAGTCCTACACTCCAGTGAGAGTAGACAACCAGGGATGAAAGCTTTTGGAGAAAAAACTCTCTTCCAAACTGCCTGTCGATGTGGTATGCATGCTCTCAATGCTCCTCTGCCAGGCTAAGAAAGGTGGCAGGAATCTTATAAAATAACCGCAGCATCCAGAATCTGCAGCAACAGCTGCAGAGCTGTGATAGCTCTCTGGTACAGACTGGAGAACCCCTTGGGTTTCCTTGAGGATTGCTGAGGATACAAGCCTGTGCATAACTGCAAATGAAGAATAAGACTTGGCCTGGGACAGAAAGGGGAAAGGGAGAAAAGAATCCCCTCTTCTAATTGCGAGAGGAATGAAAAATGAAAAAGGGAAATAATTATTTTAAACATTACATACTTGCTTGAGATGCAGAGTAACCAATAGTTTCTGTTAGAACAGACATACATTTACACAGATATTAGTAGCACCCTTATGCATTTTTAATGCAAAAGCATTAGAAAAGGTACAGAGAACTTACCAACAGTATGAATAGGTTGCCTGTAAGGTATCAAGCCAAAACTGTACTGAAATACTCCTCTAGCATGAAATAGTGGTAAAGCAAAGCCCATTATCTTTTGCAACCTCTCCTGTACATTTCTGAGCCATGAACCTTTGGGGTTTGCAACTTGCTTGAATAGTTCATTTTCACCAAAGGAAAACACCGGGACCAAATGAGCCCTGTAAAACAATGAACACACTGAGAATCCCGCAGCAGCCTCCACTTGCACTGCAGTTCACACCAGCAGTGTGGAAAGGGTTTCACAGTAAGAAGCACAGAAAGCTTTGGCAGCTGTAGACTTCAACAGCAAGAGGCATTCAACTCTTCTGATACACAGCTTTTTTGGGTTTTAAAAAACAGAAGTGATCGGCATATAACTAGCAACTAGCTTTTGGGCAATATTTGGCTGGTTGCTACCCGTCACAACTTTTTATGACTGTCCATAATCATAAAAATCAGTAACTGCATATATCAGAATTATTATTATTATCTTATCCACCATTATTTCACTAACTCCACCTTTGTGCCATTGCATTTTCTCCCTTGGCAAGCAAAGAAGCCTCATTGCTAACCTTATAATGCTCCCAGCTGGGTGGCATCAAAACCAGATCTTGGCTTGCCTCTGCCTTTTGACTTTTGACTGCACACACTTTATTTCAGCACAAAATCCGTGATAAAAAACAGACATCCTTACAGACATGAGTGCAATGCCAAATTCCTCTGCTGTACAATTCCCAATGAAATCCTGCTTCCTCCAGACTTCTTCAAAAACACTAGCCTGAATTCATTATTACCAGAGGTCAAATCCTACACACAGAAATTATACTAACTCACTTTGGCTCCTGCACAGCCTAATGAATTCTTATTCAGTTCATGAATTGGCTTGTGAGGAAAGGCGCTGACTAGCTTCTGGACAAACTACTTAGGCGGATGGAATCAGTGCAGTTGTCTCCAACAGGCAAAAACCACAAGTTTAAAACTTTGGCTGCAGTATGTTTTTTTATTAATGCTTAGTTTCATTAAATAGTATTCTACATAGTTTAAAGAAAAAAGAGCAGCGTAATCCTAAGCAGTCTCTGAGGGATAGAGAGATGTTTTATTTGCTTTACTTAAGTCTTAGCTTCTGTACCTTAGCTCCATTCAGCACACAGCATCTTTGAGAAAAGCCTTACTGTAAAATAGCAGCATTGCTATAATATTGTCAGGATGAATTACTGCAGAGCTCTGAATGCCTGAGGAGGATGCACTGAGGACATTGCTGGCTGGAAAGTACTGTGGATAATCAAAACCCACCTGTATGGAAAAAACAACTGCTTCAACAGCTTCTCAAGCCTGAGGACCCCCCCCAGAATACCACTCCCACCTACTATTCTGACTAATGTCTGCTCAAAGTTTCTTTCTCAAATAGAGCATATAATCACCTAGCCACCTGTAAAGGAAATATCAGAAAGTCTGGTACATACTGTGGCTGTGTAAATACTCTACTTTTTACTACAACGGTTAAGACAAACAGGAGCATCTTGTGGTGCAATAGCACCTGGAGACTGTGGGATTTGTTTTAATCTGGTGAAGGCTTTTGCAAGATGCTATGTAGGAGGTTGAGACAGAGAAATAAGTAACTTATGATTGTGAAACTAAAGATAAGTTAGCTGATTCATCATTTGTTTCATGTCTTCAGGATTTCTTCACTTCATATCAGATATCTGTACTACCTTGGACCAATGTGTCTTTTCCAGAAGTGCAGAGGATTTCTGCTGAC